AAAAATAATATTTTAATATTTTAACGTGAAAGATCAGTTTTGTATCGTTCCATCTCCGAAGAAAGGGCAAAAATGCAAGTTTTTTGTTTCACGTTTTCAAAAAAAGATAGAATGAAAATGCTTGGGGTATTTTTTTAAGTCAAATTTTGACTTTTTAACTTTTCAAAAAAAGATAGAATGAAAATGCTTGGGGTATTTTTTTAAGTCAAATTTTGACTATTTGAAAGAAAATATTTCGCAGAGATCAAATTTTATAAGATATTTTCCTTCTGATCATCTTTTTTTGTGAAAATTATGGGGGCTCGAAAAGTGGAAGCTTTGACAATTTGGGATAAATTACGCTCGATATTTTGCGTTCTAACAACACGCGTAACCGCCAAATTAAATTGTTCCCAATTGAACTGAGGCAAATCATTTGGTCTTATAAATTTGGATACGAACCATTAAACTCATCCTTGTTAGTGAAGGTAGACAAAACGATGATAAAAATTTTGTTTTTTTATTTTCTATCAATTTATGAACAAAAACTCTAAAATTGGCCTTAACTTTGTCCGAGTGCCTTGAAAATTTGAGTTTGCATTATTTCGCAATTACAAATATAGTTTGTAGCATTCTACAACTGTGCCAAGTCAGCGAGATGCAAAAATAAAAGAGCCAAAAGCTCGATCATAATTAGCAAATAACTAATTTTCATAGATAATCCTACTTTTTCTGGATTAAATATTCCCTAGCCCTCCCTCTATATCACTATTTATGCATATGCAGGATATAAACAAGCACCCAGTTACAGGAAGCTATGGATATATTTATTGGAATTTATATTTATACTTTTCTTTGAAACAGGCAGTCAGAATTGCAACGCGCATTGATCAGACTTTATATAATTCTTTTCCGAAATAAGTTTGCGCATTGCCTGCACTGTGTTTCCACTTTTTTCTATTGTTTGATTGTGAGCAACTGTCTGAAAACGAAATAAAAAAATGTTGGCAAAATGGATATAAATTTATTTGAATTGATTAAAATTGATTTTTGAAGCTACATATTTTTATCCAATTAACTCAATTTCAAATCGAATTTTGTTGGTCTAATATTATCTGTATAACATCGATTGCAATCCACTTCTTGTCAGTACGAGTGAAACACGTCGTTTCAAGTCAGTAGAGTTCTCGGTGTTTTAACAACACCAAGAGTGACAACGTAGCAACTTCTGTATTTTATTTTACTTCACATTACTTAACTGTTTAATTTAGAAGCGGCCATTTTATTCGGTGGCTATTCGAATCATAGTAGAATTTATAAAAACATTTCATCTAATCAAAACTGGTAAAAATTTCAACGGTTTCCTAGCCAGGCGTTTCCAAGAAGTCCGTTCACATAGGTTCAGAAAATTGGTCAGTCGAATGAACTTACTCGCATGTCTGCTTTTTTGTTCCGAACGTTTGTTTTTGATCCGACCATTGAAAATGGGGATGCAATTTGGATTCGGGTGTTTTAGTTTTTTTGCTTTTTGTTCTCCACGCAAAATCAAGTACCACAAACAATCAGACTGGGTTGAGTGATATATCATATTAAAGCACTTTCAGTCGTGATTCGAACATTAATAAAAAAATTTCCTAAGTGTCTAGAAAAACCGGTTGGAAATTTTAGAGTTTTGGTCTAATTTCGAGCTAAGAAGGCAACCGTGTAGCATATTTAAGCTTAAATTAAGCCGTGAAAACCTAGGTTCACTCGAGTAAAGTTAGTTTTTGCAAATTTTCAGGGCAATTTCGGGAATTTAAATTTTGAACACTCAAAGCATTTCTGCAAAAAATTCAAGTTTTTTTTTTCGTTTTTCGAGTCATTTTTCTTCAAAAACAGTTTTACAATTGGCTTATTTTAAAATGATTCTGAATATGCCTACGTTCTGTTTTTTTTTCCCTCTGATCTTTGTATCACAACACCAAGAAAAAACAACACCAATTTTTTTACGACTGTGGTCGGCACAGTAACCGGCTATCCTTGTTTTTTTTTGTTTTCAACGCAAAATTAAGAACCACAAATGATCAACGTAATGGATCGAGTGATATAGCATATAAAAGCTCTTCCAATCGTGACTCAAGTGATATTAAAAACTTTCAAAACTTTATTCCAGTGTTGAGAAAATCCGGTTTAAGCTTTAGTCCATTATCGAACGAATTAAGCGATCAAGTAACGATCGTTATATGAATATTTACTCTTAATTAGACTTTGAATAACTTAGTTTAAACCTTAAAAATTTTGCGTTGACTCAAGTTAAGTTTTTTTTGAATTTTTTTAGAGTCATTTTGGGAATTTTCAAAAAATTTTCTGCAAAACACAAATGGAAACAATTTATGCAACTTTTAAGATTTTTCTTTTCGTTTTATTAGTCATTTGTCAGCAAAAAATGTTTTTTAATTGGCTTAACTATTGGCTTGACTATGACTGTACGCTTCAGGCAATAAAACAAGCCATGATTTTCTGGATATTTGGCTATCGAGGTTTTCGGATTTGTTGATTGCTTAGAATTTTGTTGATTGCTATCGCTTTGGCACAATTTTGTTCTAATTTAATTTACTTATTTTTGTTTCGACTAAAAAGTGCGATTTGTTGATTGCTTAGCTTTTTGTTGATTGCTATCGCTTTGGCATAATTTTGTGCTAATTTAATTTAAATATTTTTGTTTAGACTACGAAACGTGAAAAACTGTGGCAAGGTATGCTTTTGTATTTCTTATTTTTGTTCTTACGATATCAAAATCAAGTAACGCAAATAAACGTCAAAAAAGGCTATAGATATCTCATATTATTTCATTCACTCATGACTCTTTCTACATTTAAATTCGACTAAACGTTTAAGCGTCAAAAAAGACTGTCAGAAAGTTTTTGCGGGTCAAAATTACAAAACAAATTCTGGGATTTAAGTACTTTTTCCAAATTTCACTGTGCCATAACCTTTATCGATTTCAAACAAAATTGCTCAAACCCAACTTACAACTCATTAAAAGCAAGAACAATTTCACAAACTTTAAGAACAAAATAGTTAAATCAGGAATCAAGCATCAGAAAAAATTGAAAAATCAACGCAAACATTTTTCTAACGGGGAAAATTGTTTGAAATAGTTTTCTCTTTTTTCAAAAAAAAGAAAAAAATTATTCCAAAAAATATCAAAAAGAGTTTACTGAAATTCTTTGAAGTTCAGGGATTCGACCCCCTGCCGACCCAAAGGGTCCCCCCTTTGGTACTTTTTAAGAAATTCATTTTTGGTCAACCGACCCTAAAACTTTTCTAAAGGCGCCTTGGGCGCCAATATATTCTATTTTTGAGGGGGGAGCGCGCGCCGAAAAAACGCAATTTTTTTGGTTAAAATTTTCCAAAAAGTGCCTAAAAACGCCTTTTTTGGAATGTTTTTTCAAATTTTTGCCTGCGTTGCAGAACATGTTGCCAAAAAAGGGACTAAACCATGCTTAGGGAGAGCTCAAAAATCAATTCGGTCGACCTAAAACTTTCGAAATTTTTTTTTGAAAATCCGCCCTCCCCCTCTCGAGAAAATCCTAGATCCGCCCCTGAATAAAATAACCGGCAACTCAGTCAACAAAAATTGGGATGAGTTCAATTAAGCCGACAAAAACATCAATTGATCACATTTTTTTAGCTGTACGCCCACTATTACTTCAGTAAATCTAGACCCAGAACTACAGCTGTTAAACGAGCAACTTGGCAAGAATTTGGTATCTTAAACTGGAGACTTTAGATATTTACAGAAAAAACCTTGTACCCGATTGCAATGCCCTTGTTTATCCCATGGGTAAAATTAAACGTTATATATTTTACGACTTCAAACTTTTCAACAAGTAAATCGTTAAAAATATGCAGAAATTTTCATCGATGCACTCTCAAAAAAAACTAAATATACAAATTTCTATGAAGTGCAAGGAAAAACACAAGGAAACAAAGACGAAGGAGAAAGTGTCACTTTCACTTTTAGATAAATAAGTCCTAACGATTGCGACAAACCCGCGCCTTCAGAACTTACAAGCCAATGCTCTGCTGACCACAGTAAAAACACTAATAGACTCTTTTCATAAACGCTCGTTTACAAAGGCTATCAACCAACGTTTTGATTGGCGCTGAAAACAAGCAACTGAACTACAGCTTAATATTACTAGCCGACTCGCCACTGGAAAAAAAGCAAAAAAAAATATATTATTTTGAAAATATATAAGGTCGCCCATATTCCATTAAAACATTTCAGATTTTCAAAAAAGCTTAAAATTTGCTTAATTATTTTTTGAAATATACTTTTAAAAAGCACTTTATTAAAATTATTTATAAATATCGAAAATGAAAAAAAACTAAATTTTGCCTTCCACAATTCCGATCCCCAACTTCTATAGAGGCCGGCCTTCGACGTCAATTTTATACTAATTTTGAAGCGGGAGGGGGCGAAAAAAAACGCAATTTCTTGGTCAACATTTTTGGTCAAAATTTTTTTTGCCTTTTCGCGATCAACATGCTGCTTTTCGCAAGCAAGTGCAAAATTCTGAATAGGAGTTTCAAAATTGTTTAAATACAAAAATAAGTGAATTAGGATAGAAAAAGAAACATAATTAGCCTTTTACAGGATTCTAACCCTCGACCTCCAGAGTTCAAGTCTAACGTCTTCACAACTGCGCCATAGCCCCTACCTGTCAACCTAACACCACAATAAGGCACATTCTATTAAATTAACATAAGCGAATAGATTAGTATTTTTAACTGAAAAATTTTAAGGCTAATAAAAAGCTACTATTTTTCAATTTTAGGACCCATCTCACAGGTTTTAATTTTTTGCTTCAATTAGCGTGGTCGGAAGATTCTGAGCTACTGATATCCATATTTCCATATTTAGTACATAAACCGATGCATTTTGCACGTAACCCTTCATTCCTATAGTCTACTGCTGTTCTAGCATCAAAACAATCAAATAAATATCACGTGAATTATAGAAATTTAAAGCTACAATATAAATAATATTACACTGAAATTCTGAAGCACAGCGTCATAAATTGGATTTTAATTGATGACTATGCCTTCCACTTCCAAAATAAGAGAGCATCCAGTTGTCTTTGGGCCGTAGTGTCCTCTCCAAAACTGCAAATCTTTACCTCTGCATTCAAAGTCTATGGAAGTCAGTTCTTCAGGAACTTCAACAGTGTCTTCCATCTGAAACAACTCAACCTGTTTTCAAATGCAAATCCCGGTATAGTTGAAAAGACAAAGCTGATGGCTAAAAGCTGAAAAGATTCAGGTTGAAATCAACACAGATTTTCCTAAACAAACAATTCAAACGGGAAAACCGCAATCAGAAACAACTTACAAATGACGCTTAAAACAACCAAAATACATTTAAAAGTTTCGCTATACTTTAAACTGAACTTCGTTCATTATAATTCAATGGTCCAGATTCACCAAAACCTATAATAAGTCCATTTTGGAGAAAAAGCTTAACTAAAAACATATCAGCTGAAGGGTTGATTATAAGCTTAACAGTTTTACTACATCACCTCGTGCAATTTTTAACACAGAGACGAAATTGCACTTCGCATGCACAAGCAAAAATATGACCGATAACGCTATTGGGAAAAACTGAACGCGTCTAAAACTTTGAGTCTACAAAGTTTCTTAAGTGACTCACGCCAATTATGACGCATTAGCAGTACCAGTCAATTTGAAAAAACGGAATTTACCAAATAACATGCCTCAATTTATAGAGCAGTCTATGGATCAGTAATAACATGAAAACTTAAAGGCAATAAAAAAAAATTTTTTTTAATTTGAAATTTTTTGTGAAAATCATCCCCCCCAAACGCCATTTTAAGTACAAAGTGATAAATTTCGCTCCTAGTAACAAATCAATTATGATAAATAGGCTTCCTTCAAGCAATTTGGAACGATTTCCAACACAGATTAAATCTCCGCTAACTCGTTAACAGCGCGAAACATAGCGCGCGTTGATTGTCCCAAATTGGCCAATGGACATTTTTAAACCCCGACTTTCGTTACGAAAAACGGAAAAAGACTGCTCGTATCAGGGCAAAGCCCTGAAAGTTCCGACTGCCTTTTAAGGTATATGGAGCAGCAGTAAAAACATAATAAATTAAATGAAATAAAATAAAATGAAATTTTTTTAAACAAAATTTGAATTTTTTTAAATGAAAATCATCCCCCACACGCCATATTAAGTACAAAGTGATGAATTTCGTTCCTTGTAACAAATCAATTATGGCAAATAAGCTTCGTTCAACAATTTTGGAACGATTTCTGAGAGGGATTAAATCTCCGCTTACGCATTGATACGCATATATCGCGCGTTAATTGTCCCAAATCGGCCAAAGTGGCAATCATTAAACCCCCATCATAACTCTACAAAAAATAATCACAGGTAAAATATCTTTTCAAATTTAAGATCAGGACAACAATACCTTTTGAATGATATACAAAATTTGGTCAAAAATGGCTAGTTAAAAAGTCGAAAATTGTCTGAAGAGAAAAAACCACCACGAGCACATATTTTCCATACTTTCGTTACGAAAGTCGCAACAAGACTGCTCGTACCAGGGCGAAGCCCTGAATGTTCCGACTGCCCATTAAGGTTTATGGAGCAGTAATATCATTAAAAAATTAAAAGTAATAAAACAAAATGAAATTTTTTTTTCAAAAATTTGAAATTTTTTATGAAAATCATTACCCCACACGCCATATAAAGTACAAAAGGATAGATTTCGCTACTTATAACATATTATTTATGGCAAATAAGCTTCGTTAAACCAATTTGGAACGATTTCTAAGACGGATTAAATCTCGCTTACGCGTTAATAGCGCGAAATATATCGCGCGTTAATTGTCCCAAATTGGCCAATGGACATTTTTAAAACCCGACTTTCGTTACGAAAAACAGAACAAGACTGCTCGTATCAGGGCAAAGCCCTGAATGTTCCGACTGCCTTTTAAAGTATATGGAGCAGCAGTAAAAACATAATAAATTAAATGAAATAAAATAAAATGAAATTTTTTTGAACAAAATTTGAAATTTTTTAAATGAAAATCATCCCCCCACACGCCATATAAAGTACAAAAAAGATAGATTTCGTTCCTTGTAACAAATCAATTATGGCAAATAAGCTTCATTCAACCAATTTGGAACGATTTATAAGACGGATTAAATCTCAGCTTACGCGTTAGTAGCGCGAAATATATCGCGCGTTAATTGTCCCAAATTGGCCAAAATGTCAATCTTTAAACCCTCATAACTTTACAAAAAAGGATCACAGGTAAATTATCTTTTCAAATTTAAGTTCAGAACAACAATGGCTTTCGCCTGATATAAAAAAGTTCCGTCAAAAAAGGCTAGTTAAAAAGTCGAAATTTGTCTGAAGAAAAAAAAAAGCCAAAGATAAAAAAAGCTTTCAGTTTTCAGCTAGCATTGTTTAATTGAAAATTTCGTCAAAAAAGGCTAGTTAAAAAGTCGAAATTTGTCTGAAGAAAAAAAAAACCCACCCCGAGCACAAATATTCCGTTACTTTCGTATCGAAAGTCGGAACAACAATTATAGTCTATGTTAATATCCTGTATATAGTCTGTGTTAATATCCGATTGAAGGCGTATAGCTCTATCTCTGCACAGAGACTTCACATTTCATCAAGGCTGCTCATATCTGGGCCAAGCGCAGAACGCTTCGACTGCTTTCAACAAGACTTTGAAGCCAAAGATAAAAAAAAAGTTAAATTAAATAAGTGCACTGAAACTTTTTTCGACGAGTTTCAGCTAGCATCGTTTCATTGAAAGTTCCGTCAAAAAAGGCTAGTTGAAAAGTCGAAATTTGTCTGAAGAAAAAAAAACCCACCCCGAGCACAAATATTCAGTTACTTTTGTATCGAAAGTCGGAACAACAATTATAGTCTGTGTTAATATCCTTAGCATTGGCTGTACTTAATAGCTGGTTATTGATCAAAATGAACACTTTCAAAATGAACACACTTTATCGCAACAATATTTGCGTCGCAACAAGTTTTGCGACTTAGATTGGAAAAAAGATAGTTCATGCTATAAAAACAAGCTTGTTTGTGTAAATACAGACGATTGAATGATTCGTATAGCTCTATCTCTGCACAGATACTTCACATTTCATCAAGGCTGCTCATATCTGGGCCAAGCGCAGAACGCTTCGACTGCTTTCAACAAGACTTTGAAGCCAAAGATTTAAAAAAGTTAAATTAAATAAGTGCACTGAAACTTTTATCGATGAGTTTTCAGCTAGCATCGTTTCATTGAAAAGTTAAAAATCATTAAAACTTTCAATGAAACGGCCTGGTCTTAAAACTCAAAAGAGTTTACCTTTGGTTATTCTTGGTAAAGTTATGGGAGTTTGAAACTTGCAAATGCACAATCGAACTTATGGAATTCCAAAATAGAAGAATACCAACGCAGTCAGACTCTCAGTGAAAATTACCAAATTCAAATTCACGCCATTAAATGATGAAATTCAACCAAGGGTACGTTTCAACACCGAAAACCCACAATCCTCCCCTGACATTGACTATCTACCATTTACAATCACCTCTACTATCCACAACCTGTTCCCCGATTGAATCCGCCTACCAACCCCCCCCCCCCCCCCCCCCCCCCCGCTGACCGTTCCACCAACCCCGACTTGTCTCTCTCTCTCTCTCTCTGAAGAGTCTTCTAATCTCGCGTCAGAAAGAGATTTAAGTCGTCATTTTGGCCACCCTTTAGAACGCGACCAAATAGAAGAAATGTAAGACAAACAGCGAAAGACAGCAAACAAAAGTTTCAAAACCTGGAGACAAACAAATCCACCCCGACCTCGGGTTAGCAACAACAATGTTAACTTAACTCAAATAATGTTACAAATGCACACAACTTTTAAACGTGTCGTTTTGCATATATCCTGTCGTCTTTGGTTCCATTTGTGTTCTTTGACAAAATATTTACTAATTAAAAAAGAAATCATAAAAACCTAACAGAGTCTAGCAAACCTGTTAAGCTTAGAGTGCAAATAGAACAAAATGTTCCAAACATTTATAAAAAAACGCGTTGCGATGAGAGAATCGAACTTGTATACACTGAGTGAATGAGGCATAAACGACAAAGAAAAAACAAACAAAAAATGACAAAAATATCAAAACACACTATGTTTTAAAAAAATGTATGCCAAGGAAACGCTAAAGCAAGCTTCCAAAATTAGTTTTCGCGTAGTAAAACTAATTGTTTCACTAATTCAACAATTTTGTTTGTCATAAGACCTACAAGCTCGCTTTACTCGCTCGAAATTAGTTTCAAATGTGTTGTTCTCGACACAGGAAAAAAGATTTGAATTTTAAAAATTACGTTTGAAAAACACTGAAATGGCTTCAATGTGGGTAACTAGTTTCGGTTGAAAAACAAAATAAACCTTCTCGCTCACTTTATTCGCTCGAAATTAGACCAAAACAAAAAAAATCAAACAGGTATTTCTCGAGAGAGAGAGAGAGAGAGAGAGAGAGAGAGAGAGAAATTTTTGGGAAACGTCGTTCAAATCATGACTGAAAGGGCTTTACTATTATATGTTATTCGACCCATTCCAATGATAATTTGTGATACCTGATTTGGCATGGATAAAAAAGCAATTCAACGCTCATAATGGCTATACATAGTAATGCGAACAGTTTTTGAGTAAAATGCTATAAACTGAATTGATCGAAAAATTACTCGTTTTAAGGGTGAAATTTTTTTCCTACTTAAGCTCAAAAAACACCAAATAATAATTGTGGTATAACTCTGAGCCTTCATAAAATTTTATCCAAAATGCCTTCATCACATTTGAAGCAAAATAAACCCACATTGAAAAACACTCTTGAAGTTTTGGTGAGATAAAAAAACCATTGTGGTTACTGAAACAAAAAAAAACAAGCCCAAAGATCAATTGCTACAGCAGCTCAGAATTTTTACATAAAGAAGCTCAGAATTTTTACCCAACGGAAAACTTTCAAAATACGGAAACGTAACGAAAAGTTATTTCAGATGAAAAATAAACTTTTTGGGTTCAGAACATTAAAAAAAATGTTTTGCTTCTTTCAATTTGACAGGAAAAAATCACACCGATCTTAAATCTTCTATCACCTTCTTCAAAATTCAAAAGTACGAAAAAAAACAGAAAAAAAAACAACTAAACCATTTAAATCAATCAAGATACAGTGCTGATTTACATTAACCGGACAAAACGAACTAAATTTGAAATTTAAAACGCGTTTTTCTCAAATTGGGTTGGTTTAAGGGAAAACTCATGAAGAAAAAAACTTGCTTAAAATTTTAGAATTAATATGTTGTAATTTGTTTTGCGAAATTCGGGTTCAAAATTTTACCCCAAAAATGGGTCATTTTGGCTTTTCTTAATCAAAAATTACGCCGAAAAAACCCAGTCGCTCACAGACATAATTATATCAAAGTGAGCTTCTTACGTAGCCCAACAAACTTTAAGAAGGATATATTCTCCAAAACATTATATAAGTTAACTTACTTTTGTTTGATCAAAGTGAGCTTCTTACGTAGCCCAACAAACTTTAAGAAGGATATATTCTCCAAAATATTGTATAAGTTAACTTACTTTTGTTACGCCGAAAATACCCAGTCGCTCACAGACATAATTATATCAAAGTGAGCTTCTTACGTAGCCCAACAAACTTTAAGAAGGATATATTCTCCAAAACATTGTATAAGTTAACTTACTGTTGCGAGAGACGAAAACAACTGGGTCAAAAAAATAAAGAAAAATTCTACTTCAGAATAACAAACGTTAAATTAAAATACCAGCATCAAACACGCTTTTACGTTTTTTATCGAGTGGCCACTAAGCCGAAAATAAGAAAGTAGACGACCGTTGATATATGAATTCCTTGAGATATATCACATCGGTGCAACCGATTTAACTTTACAGGGTGGCTTGGTAGAAAGTTGGACTGAATAATAAAAAGTAACCTACCATTGTGAGAACCGTATTCTGGGCTCCAGCAACTTCAAAACTTCTCGTTTTATTTTGGGCATTTTCACAGTTTGACTTCGAACCGAAAGCATGAAAGATGTCACGAAACACTGCTGATAGGGACCTGAAACGAACAACCCGATGAAATTTAATTAAACAAAAATTCAAGGATTAAATATCCTTTTGAAGAGGTCAGGAATCAAAAAAAATGTTTGTTTGAGTACGAAAATCATTTTGCGGTTGAAAAAAACACAAAAAAAATTTTGGGGGCAATTTCAAAAATACTTAGAAAAATGTTTGTTGTCGCCATCAAAAAAATGCTAGTCATACAATTTCCATATATGGAAATTGTATGATTAGCATTTTTTTTGACAAAAAATTTTCCTTTTTTAATTAGTACGATACACCAAAATTTATGCGAAAACAAGAGAAAAGTTCTTCGAAAAATCGATGACACCATTTTAGCAAAATGTATGAAAATTGTATGATTAGTATTTTTTCATAGACTTAGTTTATGGAATTGTATGATTAGCAATTTTGGTCTATGGAGGTCAACCCGGGTGAATAATTAGAGCTGTATGTTGTTCGCAATGGGTCTATGACAACAAGCCGACGGGACTTCAAGCCGAAGGGACTTCAAGCCGAAATTAAAACTTTACAAGCACCCCGAAACGCTATTTTATCATCTGCAAAATGTTGCTCTTCTGACATTTTGGCAAGTTTAGTCTATAATAAGCGTTATTCATGACAATGCACCACTTGTGATTCGCATCCGTTAATAACATCAGCCGGCTTTTGAAATGCATAAATTATAAACATGAAAAATGCCTTCAACCATGTTTTACTTTTCAACTTTCCGGAACATCATTTGGAAGCTTAAATTATATGCACACGCCAATAACTAGTGAAGAAAGATCATGAAATTCAGAAATTCATCAAAAAAGGTGTGAAGACCCTAGAGAGACAACACAAGCAATTGACGATATTGTTTGGGAATGCCGTGATGAAAGCAAGAACGGAAACGGAACTGATCGCAGACTGCCATGGAGGAACCGAGGTGAATCTAGTGAGTGCACTAGAATTCTACAGCATGTTTGGTTTTTAGAGTCACTATTGAATCTAGAGCAGAAACATGAGATGGTCACAGCCATCAGTGTAGAAGTGTTCCCAGGAGTTCTGCAAACTGAGCAGAAGTACATAGGAAAATGGAGGGAAGCGATCGAGACGGAAATGAACATCAGACATAGTGAGTCTTATTGCAGACCATCAGGAGCACGATATTTGGTGGGATCGACATTGGCTCCAATGTGCAAGAGCAGATACCCGGTACATTTCGTAGCTATGGATAAAAGAGTACGAGAACGATCGTGGTTCAAGCCTTCTCAGTGCCAAAGTGTGTGAGACTAACGAGAATGTTACGAGTTGCTATGTAAGATGTTCTCAGCATGTAAGATTTCTTTCCCCAACCTGCTCCCGGAATCCTCCTGAATCTAGAAACCAGAGATTTGAAATATGCACAACTCGAGGTTCTAAATTTCATAATCAAAACTTGCACCAAAAATACTCAGCAATTCAACACTCATAATGGCTATACATAGTAATGCGAACAGTTTTTGAGTAAAATGCTATAAACTGAAATGATCCAAAAATTACTCGTTTTAAGGGTGAAATTTTTTTCCTACTTAAGCTCAAAAAACACCAAATAATAATTGTGGTATAACTCTGAGCCTTCATAAAATTTTATCCAAAATACCTTCATCACATTTGAAGCAAAATAAACCCACATTGAAAAACACTCTTGAAGTTTTGGTGAGATAAAAAAAACCATTGTGGTTACTGAAACAGAAAAAACAAGCCCAAAGATCAATTGCTACAGCAGTTCAGAATTTTTACATAAAGAAGCTCAGAATTTTTACCCAACGGAAAATTTTCAAAATACGGAAACGTAACGAAAAGTTATTTCAGATGAAAAATATACTTTTTGGGTTCAGAACATTAAAAAAAATGTTTTGCTTGTTTCAATTTGACAGGAAAAAATCACACCGATCTCAAATCTTCTATCACCTTCTTCAAAATTCGAAAGTACGAAAAAAAAAATGAAAAAAAAAAACAACTAAACCATTTAAATCAATCAAGATACAGTGCTGATTTAAATTAACCGGACAAAACGAACTAAATTTGAAATTTAAAACGCGTTTTTCTCAAATTGGGTTGAGTTTAAGGGAAAACTCATGAAGACAAAACTTGCTTAAAATTTTAGAATTAATATGGTGTAATTTGTTTTGCGAAATTCGGGTCCAAAATTTTACCCCAAAAATGGGTCATTTTGGCTTTTCTTAATCAAAAATTACGCCGAAAATACCCAGTCGCTCACAGACATAATTATATCAAAGTGAGCTTCTTACGTAGCCCAACAAAAACTTTAAGAAGGATATATTCTCCAAAACATTGTATAAGTTAACTTACTTTTGTTTGATAGACAAAAAAGGTCGTTTTTACTATATAAAAAACCAACTTTTTATTTAAAAACAATTTTTAAACGGTTTGCAAATTTTTTTTTTGAGAATATACACTTCTTAAAATTTGCTGGGCTACGTAAGAAGCTCACTTTGATATAATTTTGTCTGTGATCGACTGGGTATTTTCGGCGTAATTTTTGACCAACTACGAAAAATCAAAATGACCCATTTTTAGGGTAAAAAATTGGGGGCCGGAATTTGGCAAAGCAAATTAGACCATAATAATTCTGATAAAATTTTAAGCTAGTTTCGTCTTCATGAGTTTTCACTTAAACTCAACCCAATTTGAGAAAAACGGGCTTTAAATTTCAAGTTTAACGCGTTTTGTCCGGTTAATTTAAATCAGCACTGTATAACAGGATGCGAACTGATGTCGCTGAATGATAGTTGGAGTTTTTTAATCAGGCATCTCAGCAGACGGAAAATCAAACAACCTTAACAAGGATGATTCATTAACGTACAAAATTGTTTGTTGTTAAGAAACTAGACCTATCTTACCTTGTGCCATACACGACGTTCCATTCCATTTGCAGTGCTCCAATCAACACGCGGCGATCGAATTTCACTTCCATCCTTACTTGTCATTATCAGCTGAAGGTAGCATTCGGATCCACAGTCATGACGAGCTGATACCCTTCAAAATAAACACTTACACAGAGGCGAAGCGGATGTTCTCATCATTTGCCATACAACGCAAGCATAGCATTGCAAACTAGCTAAGAGAGACGAAAACAACTTGCGAGAGACGAAAACAACTGGGTCGAAAAAAAATGAAGAAAAATTCTACTTCAGAATAACAAACGTTAAAATAAAATACCAGCATCAAACACGCTTTTACGTTTTTATCGAGTGGCCACTAAGCCGAAAATAAGGAATTAGACGACCGTTGAGTCGAAAACAGAAAAAAAAACGCCAGAAGTTATTGTCGTCATAAAAGGTTGACTAAGCCGATACAACATAAACCGAAACCATGCAGGCCGAATGAAACTTTCAAGTAAAAAAACAACAAAAGAAGATAAGCAAAACCAGGGCCAGAGTTAGTAATTTTTAAACTACAGGTCAAAATCAACAAAAGTTGCAATTACGAGGAAAAATGCTTATAGCAAAATAAATAAAAACCTGCGATATGTCAACAAAATTTTTTAAGAAAAATTTTGTTTCTGTCATACAAAATTTTGTAAGACAGGTTGTTTACGGGAAAAAGTCTAGTTTTGATTGCAAGACACTCTCTCTCTCTCTCTCTCTCGCAAGTCTTATAGCCAATAGAAAAAAAATAAGAGTTAATTAATTCACTAAAAGTGACATGGATATTTTTCTGCAATGAAAAAAGCGAAGATCGAAATAACCAATTCCTTGAGATATATCACATCGGTGCAACCAATTTAACTTTACAGGGTGGCTTAATACAAAGCTGGACTGAATAATAAAAATCAACCTACCATTGTGAGAATCGTATTCTGGGCTCCAGCAACTTCAAAACTTCTCGTTTCATTTTGGATATTTTCACAGTTTGACTTCGAACCGAAAGCATGAAAGATGTCACGAAACACTGCTGATAGGGACCTGAAACGAACAACCCGATGAAATTTAATTAAACAAAAATTCAACGATGAAATATCCTTTTGAAGAGGTCAAGAATTGTCCAAGAACAAACAGGAAAAAAAACAACTTTTCATATTTCAAAAATCTGACTGAGAATAGAATTCAAGGGCACCAAACAAGACAAATTCGATTCTGTGTGAAATCTGCAATAAACGCTCATACTTAAAATCAGCTAAAATTTCTACAGTGTACATCAATTTTGCATATTGAATTGAGGGCATGTTGCTTTTAAGAAAGTCAGACTTTTCATCCATCGATTTTTGTGCAACTAAAACCTTTCTAAAAAACACAACACAAAAAATAAAATGGAAGGTAGTTGAGCGTCGATTTATTTGCTCGCTAATGATAGACTGTAAACATTTTGTGTCCTTCACTACAAGAAAAAGCTGCTCCGCTTCACTTGCCTTATTGATATCTATCAATATAAAACTTCTGATATGATCAATATAATACTTCTTTCTAAAAAACACAACACAAAAAATAAAATGGAAGGTAGTTGAGCGTCGATTTATTTGCTCGCTAATGATATACTGTAAACATTTTGTGTCTTTCACTCCAAGAAAAAGCTGCTCCGCTTCACTTGCCTTATTGATATCTATCAATATAAAACTTCTGATATGATCAATATAATACTTCTTTCTAAAAAACACAACACAAAAAATAAAATGGAAGGTAGTTGAGCGTCGATTTATTTGCTCGCTAATGATAGACTGTAAACATTTTGTGTCCTTCACTACAAGAAAAAGCTGCTTCGCTTCACTTGCCTTATTGATATCTATCAATATAAAACTTCTGATATGATCAATATAATACTTCTTTCTAAAAAACACAACACAAAAAATAAAATGGAAGGTAGTTGAGCGTCGATTTATTTGCTCGCTAATGTTAGACTGTAAACATTTTGTGTCCTTCACTACAAGAAAAAGCTGCTCCGCTTCACTTGCCTTATTGATATCTATCAATATAAAACTTCTGATATGATCAATATAATACTTCTTTCTAAAAAACACAACACAAAAAATAAAATGGAAGGTAGTTGAGCGTCGATTTATTTGCTCGCTAATGATAGACTGTAAACATTTTGTGTCCTTCACTACAAGAAAAAGCTGCTCCGCTTCACTTGCCTTATTGATATCTATCAATATAAAACTTCTGATATGATCAATATAATACTTCTTTCTAAAAAACACAACACAAAAAATAAAATGGAAGGTAGTTGAGCGTCGATTTATTTGCTCGCTAATGATAGACTGTAAACATTTTGTGTCTTTCACTCCAAGAAAAAGCTGCTCCGCTTCACTTGCCTTATTGATATCTATCAATATAAAACTTCTGATATGATCAACATAATACTTCTTTCTAAAAAACACAACACAAAAAATAAAATGGAAGGTAGTTGAGCGTCGATTTATTTGCTCGCTAATGATAGACTGTAAACATTTTGTGTCTTTCACTCCAAGAAAAAGCTGCTCCGCTTCACTTGCCTTATTGATATCTATCAATATAAAACTTCTGATATGATCAATATAATACTTCTTTCTAAAAAACACAACACAAAAAATAAAATGGAAGGTAGTTGAGCGTCGATTTATTTGCTCGCTAATGATAGACTGTAAACATTTTGTGTCCTTCACTACAAGAAAAAGCTGCTCCGCTTCACTTGCCTTATTGATATCTATCAATATAAAACTTCTGATATGATCAATATAATACTTCTTTCTAAAAAAAACACAACACAAAAAATAAAATGGAAGGTAGTTGAGCGTCGATTTATTTGCTCGCTAATGATAGACTGTAAACATTTTGTGTCCTTCACTACAAGAAAAAGCTGCTCCGCTTCACTTGCCTTATTGATATCTATCAATATAAAACTTCTGATATGATCAATATAATACTTCTTTCTAAAAAACACAACACAAAAAATAAAATGGAAGGTAGTTGAGCGTCGATTTATTTGCTCGCTAATGATAGACTGTAAACATTTTGTGTCCTTCACTACAAGAAAAAGCTGCTCCGCTTCACTTGCCTTATTGATATCTATCAATATAAAACTTCTGATATGATCATCATAATACTTCTTTCTAAAAAACACAACACAAAAAATAAAATGGAAGGTAGTTGAGCGTCGATTTATTTGCTCGCTAATGATAGACTGTAAACATTTTGTGTCTTTCACTCCAAGAAAAAGCTGCTCCGCTTCACTTGCCTTATTGATATCTATCAATATAAAACTTCTGATATGATCAACATAATACTTCTTTCTAAAAAACACAACACAAAAAATAAAATGGAAGGTAGTTGAGCGTCGATTTATTTGCTCGCTAATGATAGACTGTAAACATTTTGTGTCTTTCACTCCAAGAAAAAGCTGCTCCGCTTCACTTGCCTTATTGATATCTATCAATATAAAACTTCTGATATGATCAATATAATACTTCTTTCTAAAAAACACAACACAAAAAATAAAATGGAAGGTAGTTGAGCGTCGATTTATTTGCTCGCTAATGATAGACTGTAAACATTTTGTGTCCTTCACTACAAGAAAAAGCTGCTCCGCTTCACTTGCCTTATTGATATCTATGAATATAAAACTTCTGATATGATCAATATAATACTTCTTTCTAAAAAAACACAACACAAAAAATAAAATGGAAGGTAGTTGAGCGTCGATTTATTTGCTCGCTAATGATAGACTGTAAACATTTTGTGTCCTTCACTACAAGAAAAAGCTGCTCCGCTTCACTTGCCTTATTGATATCTATCAATATAAAACTTCTGATATGATCAATATAAAACTTCTTTCTAAAAAACACAACACAAAAAATAAAATGGAAGGTAGTTGAGCGTCGATTTATTTGCTCGCTAATGATAGACTGTAAACATTTTGTGTCTTTCACTCCAAGAAAAAGCTGCTCCGCTTCACTTGCCTTATTGATATCTATCAATATAAAACTTCTGATATGATCAATATAATACTTCTTTCTAAAAAACACAACACAAAAAATAAAATGGAAGGTAGTTGAGCGTCGATTTATTTGCTCGCTAATGATAGACTGTAAACATTTTGTGTCCTTCACTACAAGAAAAAGCTGCTCCGCTTCACTTGCCTTATTGATATCTATCAATATAAAACTTCTGATATGATCAATATAATACTTCTTTCTAAAAAACACAACACAATAAATAAAATGGAAGGTAGTTGAGCGTCGATTTATTTGCTCGCTAATGATAGACTGTAAACATTTTGTGTCCTTCACTACAAGAAAAAGCTGCTCCGCTTCACTTGCCTTATTGATATCTATCAATATAAAACTTCTGATATGATCAATATGATACTTCTTTCTAAAAAACACAACACAAAAAATAAAATGGAAGGTAGTTGAGCGTCGATTTATTTGCTCGCTAATGATAGACTGTAAACATTTTGTGTCTTTCACTCCAAGAAAAAGCTGCTCGGCTTCACTTGCCTTATTGATATCTATCAATATAAAACTTCTGATATGATCAATATAATACTTCTTTCTAAAAAACACAACACAAAAAATAAAATGGAAGGTAGTTGAGCGTCGATTTATTTGCTCGCTAATGATAGACTGTAAACATTTTGTGTCTTTCACTCCAAGAAAAAGCTGCTCCGCTTCACTTGCCTTATTGATATCTATCAATATAAAACTTCTGATATGATCAATATAATACTTCTTTCTAAAAAACACAACACAAAAAATAAAATGGAAGGTAGTTGAGCGTCGATTTATTTGCTCGCTAATGATAGACTGTAAACATTTTGTGTCCTTCACTACAAGAAAAAGCTGCTCCGCTTCACTTGCCTTATTGATATCTATCAATATAAAACTTCTGATATGATCAATATAATACTTCTTTCTAAAAAACACAACACAAAAAATAAAATGGAAGGTAGTTGAGCGTCGATTTATTTGCTCGCTAATGATAGACTGTAAACATTTTGTGTCCTTCACTACAAGAAAAAGCTGCTCCGCTTCACTTGCCTTATTGATATCTATCAATATAAAACTTCTGATATGATCAATATAATACTTCTTTCTAAAAAACACAACACAAAAAATAAAATGGAAGGTAGTTGAGCGTCGATTTATTTGCTCGCTAATGATAGACTGTAAACATTTTGTGTCTTTCACTCCAAGAAAAAGCTGCTCCGCTTCACTTGCCTTATTGATATCTATCAATATAAAACTTCTGATATGATCAATATAACACTTCTTTCTAAAAAACACAACACAAAAAATAAAATGGAAGGTAGTTGAGCGTCGATTTATTTGCTCGCTAATGATAGACTGTAAACATTTTGTGTCCTTCACTACAAGAAAAAGCTGCTCCGCTTCACTTGCCTTATTGATATCTATCAATATAAAACTTCTGATATGATCAATATAATACTTCTTTCTAAAAAACACAACACAAAAAATAAAATGGAAGGTAGTTGAGCGTCGATTTATTTGCTCGCTAATGATAGACTGTAAACATTTTGTGTCCTTCACTACAAGAAAAAGCTGCTCCGCTTCACTTGCCTTATTGATATCTATCAATATAAAACTTCTGATATGATCAATATAATACTTCTTTCTAAAAAACACAACACAAAAAATAAAATGGAAGGTAGTTAAGCGTCGATTTATTTGCTCGCTAATGATAGACTGTAAACATTTTCACTCCAAGAAAAAGCTGCTCCGCTTCACTTGCCTTATTGATATGACCAATATACCACTTCTGAGCTTCACTTTAGATACCAGTTCTATAAAGATTACTTCAAGAAACTGGCCACAGGAAGGAAATATCGACAACCCCTCAGACCAATTTAGCTTCTGCCAGTTTTGGTAAAATTTCTGAGTGGTTAGTTTTCCGACGAGCTCAACGATATTTGACAAAATCAAGATATTCACATACACTCAGTTCGGTTTCAGATCAACACATTTGACACTACCATCAAACTTACTTAGAGAAAGTTTTTTTTCTGCTGAATTTTTGGAATTTGTTTCTGATAATGGTTTCTAGGTAAAGGGTAGAACGCGCTAACAGAAAAACATGCAAATTTTTGATAAAAGCTGGACCGGATAGAATGAAGAGGTGTATGATTAACTTGGCCTAAGAGTTGAATCTAAGAGGTAGAACATGATATTATTTAACGCTTAATGAGACAGCTAAAAACGGCCCGTGCTGGACTAATGGTGTTCTCCCAAACGATGCCGATTTAATTGGTTAACTTATACAAATAACTAGATGTAGCTTCGGAACAGATTGCTTTGAGCAGAATCTGAAGCAAATTAGACGAAAAACAGAATGCTGAATAATTAGAGCTGTATGTTGTTCGCAATACAGCACAGTTTTGTAAAAATGAGACTTATGACAATAGAGAAAGTGTTTGGTGGCGTCCCTCATGCTTGAAGGACCGAATGCTTGAAATTAATTTTAGCTTACTTTCAGCCAATCAGAATTTAGTATTCAAAATCTCAAAGTAAATCGCGAAAATCTCAAAGTAAGAAAATAAATCCAGGCCATTAGTGTTAATATTGACCGATTAGATAATAAGCAGATGAGTTTTCAAGAATGAAAAATTCTTATGATTTGGCTTCATTAATTTTGATGATTATCTGAGTTGTTTTGGGGTTGTAACCAGCAATTTGTAATATTTTTGATTTTTTTTCCACTGATTTAATACATTTTCTGTTAATATTGACTTCGGTTTTGTGAGAAAGGCATTTAGCCAATAGAAATGCTTAGCAATTTTGATTGGTTGAAATTTTTCAAGCATTCGGTCCTTCAAGCATGAGAACCCTCCCCAAAGTGTTTGAATGATCAATCGATTACCACACGATGTCGACTAGAAGAGAGAAAAACAATTTTTATAGCGTTATATGAAGTCTCATTATTAACAACAATGCGCGATATTCTTTAGTATACCTCTTGAATCAATATGAAAAACTCGTCCTTAAGAACGCTCGTTGGTGAAAAAAAAAACAAGATTGTTCTTACACCATGGCGCCTGAATGTTCCGAATGCCCTTTAACTGATCTCGAATAAATTTTGCTAGATGAAATATTGACGAACAAAGAATTTTGGGATTAAACAACACCAGTCGTTAAGTATTATAAGTTGAGGCATATATGGAAAAATACGAAAAGTTAGCTTGCCTCAATTAAATTTTGTAACAATTTTGTATTACGTCACAATTCACGATGCATAAATGATTGGCCTTACATTTTCAGCATCAAATTATTTAACAAACAGTTTAGAAAGACTTGTTTTAGAACGACCGCAGAATGAAGATGCATATAGTGGTGGGAGCGCGCGCCCGTTTGGGATCACTAAGATCCAGGGATCGATCCCCACAAAGTGTCAAGCGAACAACTTAGACAGATTCGTTTCAAAACGAACGCAGAGTCAGGTTTAATTTAGTGGTGAGCGCGCCCCTACTAGGATTATGAAGATCCAGGGATTGATGCCCTCACTCAGCAAATCTTCATTTGAAACTTCCCGGGTTGACCAAAACTTCTAATCATACAATTTCCATTTATGAAAAACTTCGTCATACAATTCCATACGTACAGAACATTGTATGAAATCTCTATGATAAAGATTTTTCCATAAATGAATATTGTATGATAGGTGTTTTTCCATAAACCAAAAATTTTGATTTTTTCTTTCAAAATTTAGTTTCTGAAAAGTTTTTGGTTGAGTTTGCAACCGAACACAAGTGACAAAGACCTTGGTTACTCAAAACACCAAAGGTTGGACGGTCTTGCATTTACAATGCATAGCAAACGACCTGAATTGGGATGTTTTTCACGATTGATATAACAAAAGTAACGAACTTTTATTTTTTGGCAAAATTTTTTAATGATGATTATTTCAAATTTTTGAATTTTCAAGTTATCAGACATTGATCAAAGCTTACATTTACACCCCATACAAAAGAAATAGGAATTTTCAGCGTTTTCGAAAAAAAAATTGAAGTGAAAAGAAAATAAAAGCCAATTTTATCGTATCCAGGACTACGTTATGCACACAAAATATTAAATTTTGCATGCAAAAAAAAAAATTCGAAAAATGTTTGTTTGGGTACGAAATTCGATTTGCGGTTGAAAAAAAAACAAAAAATTTTTGGGCCAAATTTTCAAAATTACTTGAAACATTTTTTGTGTCGCCATCAAAAAAATGCCAGTCATACAATTCCCATATATGGGAATTGTATGATAAGCATTTTTTTCAAAAAAACGAGGACCTCAGTTTTTTATCACCAGACTGTTTTATAAGAATCAAACATCCACAGAAATAATTTTATACCAGTTTTCAACCATTTTTAGAAATTGTATGAAAATTGTATGACAAGCATTTTTCCATACACTTGATGTATGGAATTGTACTATTTTCGGTGTATGGAGGTCAACCCGGGTTGATCTGAATATAAAAAACCAGCCAAGCATATATATTCCTCACTTTATTCGAAATATGGAACAATGAAAAAGATTTCAAAGTATACCACAAGTCGTATGAAACGCGCAAAAAGTAAACTCTACTCACTGGCCTCTGGAGGAACAGGTTCGGCTCCAATAGGTTCTTCTTCCACAATGAATATAGTATCCGTATTGAGGTATCGACGTTGACCGCTCCCTTTCTCCTCCCAATGACTCTTCCCCTCTGATTCCATGCAAATACAGAAGTCATTTAAATCACACACAAAAAATTAAAACTTGGAACTTAAAAAACGAGGTTTCCCAAATAGGATTAGGCTCAAAACAAGGGTATGACCTTAATTGCTCAAATTCTTACCAGAATTAACGAAGTCTTTTTCAGCGAAACTCGGATCCCGAATCCACCTTAAAATCATTGGTTCATTTTTAAGTTGATTAGTTAGATGTACGATCATGAAAAAAAAACAAACAATGGAACCTGATCTAAACTACATTTTATGATTGGATAAATTAGATATTTTACCACTGTAAAGTATTTGATATTAACCAATCATGATCCATCTAACTAACAACCCACTTATTTGTAAGTGCTGAAATTACTTGTAATTTCAGCACCAGAGAGATTTGAATTTAACTTAGAAATTAGTTGCCTCTCCAAGAGAACTTCAGCAGCCGCAATAAACCAGTATACCCTAGATCTATTGAGCCTAGCAGAGACTAGTTAAACAACCTGAGACTAGATAGTATAAGAGTAAGATTAGGATCGGTATTAGACTAAGAAGTTGCACGAATCTATCCGGCCGAAAATAAGATAGCGTGACGAGCAGACGGTGTACCCTATCCGAAATTACTCTATGAGTTAACCACGTCGGTCATAACTCATCTGGTGCGACCATAAGTCTCGAACAAGACCTTAATAGCTTAGAATTAACCAAAAATAGATTAGAATTTAGACAAAACATTTTTAAAATGTTATACGACGATAATTTAATCGAAATGTCTCTACGACTCAATAGATCAGAGCCAATATTCCGAACGATAACAGAACTACCCGGAATTGCAAGAAGACCTCGAACCAGAGACGACATACGACAAAGTAGAAACTTACCAAATAGATATATGATAGTACGGCAAAAGCCAACACAAACTTTTATATTTAGAATTTTATTAGCAATGAATTTAGATTTTCAATTACAAACATAAAATCTTGAAGTCAATCTTCATGATCATTTCAGGCGCTAAACAAAATTATTAATATACAATAACGATTGATAAAAAGATCTCAGATCGTTTTCCTAAAATTCTGCAGTATTATATAAAACATGTTTGGAAAATATTTATTGAAAATCAAAACAAAAATTAGTAGCATGACAATAAATTGTTAGTAATCATAAAAATCATCTGTAGTCCCAGCTTCATCACCTAAACATAACAGCAATCATAAGCTCACTTAACATCAAAAACTAAAATTTTGAACAATTTAAACCATTTTAAACTTAAAATATAATTTTAAAATCAGATCATCAAGGCGTATCCTTGGATCTACATTAAATTTTTCTATTTCATTAAATTTAAAACTTGATCATCAAGGCCTATCCTTGGATCAAAAAGAACAATTTAGTTCTCCCCCACCCACTTAGCTAGTGTCTAACGACCTCAAACGTCGATTCACTATCCAACCCTTTCAAAAAACCCAAGACTAATAGAAATTTTTGAACAACACTAATCATTCAAATTAGGATAAACAGTGAAGAACTTCGGTTATTCATCCTTCACTTGAACCCTCCTCTTACCAGACCCAGGATAAATCTTAGACTTAGTAAGTTTAAAATAGTATCTAACGAACTACTCGCGTTTTAATTATACCTGAACCTTGTGGATCGATTTACTATTCTCCAACCCTTGAACACAATCTTTACCCCTAAGTAAGATTAAGTAAGTTAACACCTTAGCTTATATTAGCCACGAGAAAGTAAAAAATCATTCTTCGGAATCGATATACTTTTCTCTCCAACCCTGAACAAATAGACCCAGGTTAAGCTAACCAAAAAATCGTAAGGACTAACAATTTAAGAAAATAGAAATCATCTAACAACTTTTTGCATCCGTCATCCTAAACCTTATGTCATTTAAAAATCTAGGAAAAAAACAAACAATCGTTTTACACAACTGTGAAATAGATAACAAAAAATACGACCTTGTAATCACACCTCATACACAAACAGTTGGATATATTAGAACAAAACGACAAACACTAAAAAGGAAAATAATAAACAAACAAAGACAAATAACACGAAAAAGATTTTCCAAAAATAGAAACGCATTTTCAGAATCAGAAGCCAGCAATCTAGACGAACTTTATAAATTAAAAGAATCTATAGATAAAAATTGCGCCATTCACGATCAATTATATTTTTCCGACTCAGAAACAACTTCAAATTCATCAAAAAGAAGAAAAAGAAGAATAAAAAAGCAATATAAACACAAACCAGTACATTTATATAATTGGAATCAACCAATTAGACATATCGATAATTACCTATTAACAGTCATTAAACGAAAAAATGAGCCAAACACACACCCCAAGTGAAGATAGTCCAGATGATGACGATATCTACCCCTTCCTCGTAGATGCACCCAATGATAGAGGGCAGCATATACTTTGCAAGAATTTACTCCTAAATTTATTTGAACCCGGAATCAGCCCATGTAAAGCAGAGTTCCCAGATGTAAAGATCAAAAGACAAATTATTGATCACTATCTGAAAGATATATGTAATTTGACACAACAATACGGAATCTACACCATAGAATTCAGCTCACCAAACCCGAATCACCGCAAATATGTAATTCAAACAGACGATCTTGACTTAGAATTTTCAAAAGTATTCTTAGAATTTATAAAAAGCATACAATATCATAACTCACAAAGAGCAAACTCCATATTCACTAATGAAGTTTTTGCCATAATATATAGTTATATCTCAATATTAGAAAACGAAATTCCAATCCCAAGTGTCTCACCGACAGAGACATCTAAACATATAAGGGTAAGACATGAAATCACACTATTTTCAACTTTCCTACATATAATTAAAGAAAATTTCACTAAAGATGATGTTTCACAACATACAAAACATGACTTACAAAAAAATTTGGCATGGTTTATAATAGATTATTTCACACATAATATAGATTTAATTTCACAAGCAAGAAAAAATTTCAGACCTCAAAATTCAAACGATGATACCGCCATCACAGAACAATCAGACTACGTTTGGGACCCCGAATGGTCTCATTATGCATTTATAAATATCCCACAGTCAATTGCAAGTCAAGCAATAAGTACAATATCTTATACAAGAGATTATGTAAGAGTAGTACCATTAACCATTGATGCAACACCATTAAACTACAATACATTTCTACCTGATACGCGAAATAACAGCTTAAACTCGACCGTCATACACAATGAAAACCTTAATGGAACTAGGAATCTCACTCAGCAAGATATTCAGACACCATCACACTTCATAAATGAAGAAATTGTACAAACAACAACAACTACGCAACAAAGTATTTCACCAATACGTCCAAATTTAACAACACCAAGAAATACAAACACTTCACTAGCACAGGTAACCTTACAATCAACCGTTAAACCTTCGGTTGCTCCAAAAGATTCACAAATGGATTATCAAACATATAGACCCATGACAATACCGTCAAAAACACGCAGAACGTTCACAAGAAACAATTTTGCGGAACACAATTATAATTATACACATTCATCAAAAACAAACTATCCCCCACGAAAAAATAATAATAATCAGATAAGATCTCGCTATTGGGATAATCCAATGGCAACAACCAACTCAGTAAATTTTCAAACTAATTCACATCCTCCACAGGATCGTAGTGAAAATTACCCATTCTTTCAACAGAATAAAAATAAAAAACAACCACCTCATCAAACGGATTACCTATCCTCTGATGATGATTATTTACAACCAGATATATTTGCACCATATACTCAAGAATATCGTGGACAAGGAGTGCAAAAACCATATACATTTCATAGGATTTTTTCCCCACATCAAATAGATACACAAAATCAACAACCAATACAAATGCAAAACCCAATTAATACACAATCTTTTCAACCAATTCAGCCACAAAACCCAATGATTACACATTCGTATCAACCAACACAAATGCAAAATGAAATACCACTTCCATATTACCTTCAACAACACGAAATAACAAAAAATCAACTTTCGAATTTTTCACAAATGCCAAATGCAGCAGAATCATTACAAATGACAATGAATCCATACCTTATGGGTGGATCATCAATAACATCAAACAAACCATTAATGGTATTCACAGGAACAGACCCTGAATATTCTGTAGAAGATTATTTAAATGCAGTAACAGCAAATTTAATTTTAAATATAGGACCTGAACCAATTAATACGCCACTACATCAAAACTGGATACATCGACGCACAGCGTTGATACAGACAACCTTAGACGGCGCAGCCCAAAAATGGTTTTCAGTATTGCCTATAGAAATAAAATCAAACTGGAAAAGATTTACACAAGAATTTTCAAAAATGTTTGACTCCGAGAGGAACAAACAACAACAAAGAGTTTTATGTAATGAAATTCGCAGATTACCAAATGAAACCATCAAACAATTAGCAGTACGTATCGAAACACTAGTTCGAAAAGCATATTCATTAAATACACAGAACTATAAAAACACAAAAATGACAGAAATCTTAATGATGACCTTAACACCTCAATTAAGGAAAATAGCAATAAAAAAGAGAGCATCCCATCCCTCCTCAATTCGAGAGCCCGATTTAGATTTTCGAAAACTAGTAGACAAACTAGAGCAAGCGGAAATCACAATGAAACTTGAAGAAACAGAAAATCTGAAGTTACAATATGTTAATCGAATTGAAACAAATACCACAAATATCAACAACATACAGGAATCAGAAACAGACCTCGTTGAAAAAATCACTGAAATACTCAATATTTATGAAAAGCACCCAAACTTTAAAGGCAAACCATCTTTCAAAAAATGGTGTAATTATTGCCGACGATACGGACATAGTATTTCTGAATGTAGACAAAAACAACAGGACAATCAAAACAAACCTCAAAAATATAAAGAACCAAATAAATCATTCTATCAATACATGAAGAAAGATCAAA